CTTGAAGCAGAGCGAGCTGCTCGAGCTAAGGTGGAAAAGCAGAGAGCCGAGTTGGCCAGAGAGCTGGAGGAGATCAGTGAGAGGCTGGAGGAAGCTGGTGGAGCAACATCTGCCCAGATTGAGATGAACAAGAAGAGAGAGGCCGAGTTCCAGAAACTCCGCAGAGACCTTGAAGAGGCTACTCTGCAGCATGAATCCACTGCTGCCACACTCAGGAAGAAACAAGCTGACAGTGTGGCTGATCTGGGAGAGCAGATAGACAACCTGCAGAGAGTCAAGCAGAAACTGGAGAAGGAGAAGAGTGAGCTCAGACTGGAGCTGGATGATGTGGTCTCCAATATGGAACACATTGTGAAGACAAAGGTTGGCTAAACTAATACACAACTTCTAAATACTTTTCACATGCAGATATGAGGACATTTGGGGTATAATTTCAAATGTTTATTTTAAATGTAGACAAATCTGGAGAAGACATGCAGGACAGTGGAAGATCAGATGAATGAATACAAGACCAAATATGAAGAGGCTCATCGCTGCATTAATGATTTCAACATGCAGAAAGCTAAACTTCAAACAGAAAATGGTATATTTGTTTGCTTCATAACTAACTGCTGTATTTGATAAATAATAAGACAATTTTCCCGTTAAAAATAAATATAAAATAATCGTGTCTACTAAGAAAACCAGATAAGATGTGTTGCACTATCAACATCTATACTATACATGGTTTGTTTGGACAATAACAAACATGCATTTGCTAATTCAAGGTGAGATCACGAGGCAGCTAGAAGAGAAGGACTCTCTGGTATCACAACTGACAAGAGGCAAAATGTCCTACACCCAGCAGATTGATGACCTCAAGCGACAACTAGAAGAGGAGACCAAGGTGAACATACGTTTCAGGCCTTGGTTACAGAAAGTTTCAACAAAAGCACATGACAGTGTTGCTCATTCATCTTGGTTTTTTTCCACAGGCAAAGAATGCTTTAGCCCATGCAGTGCAGTCTTCTCGACATGACTGTGATCTGCTCAGGGAGCAGTATGAGGAGGAGCAGGAGGCCAAGTGTGAATTACAACGAGGCATGTCCAAGGCCAACTCTGAGGTAGCTCAGTGGAGAACTAAGTACGAAACTGACGCCATCCAGAGAACCGAGGAACTGGAGGAAGCAAAGTAAGACATTTTGAGATCCTAATTCATTATTTGATATGTAGTAACTAAAGAGACAATTTATTTCGTCTAGCAGATCAGCTTTTTGTTTGTGTTATATTCCTACTAAAATGTAAGACGAACAAAAAGTTTGTCTGTTGGATGATCGAGCAGCCAGTCATTAGTTGTACTACTTATAATATATCCAAAAGAAACACTTCCAGGATTGTTAAAATATTTGAATGATCAATTTCTAAAGGAAAAAGCTGGCTCAGCGTCTGCAGGATGCTGAGGAGGCTGTTGAAGCAGTGAACGCTAAGTGTTCCTCTCTGGAGAAGACCAAACACAGGCTGCAGAATGAGATTGAAGATCTCATGGTTGGATGTTGAGAGGTCTAATGCTGCCTGCTGCTGCTCTGGACAAGAAGCAAAGAAAACTTGACAAGGTATAACTACAAGTATTTGTGGAGCACCCAAAGTATCAATTGGCAGGTGTAAGGCTTTATACCCTTCATAAAAGTATCATGGACATTATATTTAAATTTTTTATCCCTGCTTATTGTATTGTTTCAGTGCTTTCATGTACATATTGTTTACATTTGTTTTCCACACTACAGAGCAAACTTAACAAATCAGCTGGGGTTAGGGCTATGTGTGAGTCTGTTCAAAGGTGGTGTTCCCTAGGCAGTGTGAAGTGGTTAGAAGGAAAAGGGTGCTGCTGTGGGGCGTATGTGTGTGTA